TATTAGTGTACTCAGGACCATGAGACCTTCCAAGAATAATCCAGACTTCACAGTCCTACAAAATCAATGCACAGCTTACATAACTGCTCAAAATACATTGCAAAAATACCACCCCTTTCTCCTAAAGCAGACACAGGCAGAACTCCAAGTCCCTTGAAAAGGAAACAAAATGCTATGTTTACTCCTTAACTTAATCTTCTTTCTTGATTTACATGCTCTTTCTTTTGGAAGAAGTTTGCTTTGGAAAATGTTCTATTATATAGATTCCTGAAAAAAAACGTTTATGAAGGTCAACTTCAGATGGAACTGCTGAAATTATTTGGGACAGCACCTACAGAGCTCTAACCTCAGTACCTCCTCAGCAGTAGGGCTTTAACCCGTACAAGGGGATACCCGACAACTACGTGTGGGAATCTCAGAAGGGATAATGCTAAATCTAGTTCAGTAACACCGAAAAGATGCAAAGCTAATGTTCACCTTCTCCATCATATAGGTCAAAATATATTTCATCCAACTTCTTTGGGACTGAACTGAATCCAGCTAATTTTCTACTGGGAGCTAGCAATCAACAGCAAGACCTTTTGCCATGTTCTATAACCTTAGTCAGTATTTCCCACAAACAGTCATGGTACTAAGGCAGACATCAGGCTGTCAGCTTGCAGAACAAATAACTTCCCGATATGACTATGTCCAAAAAGGAAATCAATAATCTCTTATGTGGAACTCTGTTGGAACTCAAAATGTCTCTCAGACATTTTTAGAGGTTCCAGGCCTTGGTTAGAAGCATTTTAGACCCTGGCAGGCAGCTGGAAACAGCTGTGATTTTGAGTTTGAGCCATGGAATGAGTTACCAACTTTGGAGGTGGAACAAGCAGTCACAAAAGGTTAGTATAGTAAAAGTAGTTACAAAACAGAGGGGAATTTTTTTTAGTATTGTACAGGGGGGTTTTAACACTTGTACAGGGGGGTTTTTACTTTGTACATGGGGGTCAGAAGTTCTAAGATGGAGGAAAGTGGGCTGATCCTGTTCGTCCTCCTTCTTCTTCCTTGCCTCCATGTTCTTGGTGATGTTGGCACTCACAGATTGGTTTAGAGTAGAAAAGCACTTTGTAATATAGGTAGTAGGTATTGGGGGAAAATTATAAACATGTAATACATAATATATCATATAAAAGATAGCAGCAGCCCTGGGCGGGGGGAGAGAAGAAGAAGACAGCAGAGAGGATGTCAGGGTGTGTGTGTGCCTCTGTCCAGGCCGCTGACCAAGCAGCCGCAGCCTGAGAAGACAATCTGTTAGATAACTCACAATAAACTGCCTTGAGACCGAACAGCAGGAGCCTGTGGAGTTTTTCTTTGGAATCACGGGTTGGAGGAGGAATTTCACCACCACATGGGACCCCAGAGCAAGGCTGGGGTTCCCACAGAACTCCATTGAAAGAAGAGAACTAATATAGTAACTGCTTCCTGCAAACACCCAAAGCTTGAAAGGACAGAGTCATGAAAGAGTATGCACCGAACAGTGCCAGATTAAAAACAAGATGACAGCTTTTCATGATGAGAGACATCAGGAACAGGTGAAAGAATGTGAAAAGCTGCAGCCTGGACACCACATGTGTTCTTGCTGACAATTGCTACACAAATTATTTATTCCCTGTACCAGCTAGCTTTAGTGCCTCTTTCAAAAATATCACAGCAAATATGAAAGTTGAAACAAAACACTCTTGGCAACATATTTTTCTTATCAGCTATTAGAAAACTACAAGAAAAGAAGAGATAATTCATAAGAAGTGGATTTCTCAATAGCATTTTAAACGACTATTTCATTTGAGGTGGAGGCATTTTCATACACAGTAAACACAAAGCACTGTCACTATCACTTGTTTTTGATGGTAGGGAATCTCCTCTTTAAAATGCACAAATAAATCTCCCCCAGCATATGCAGAAGCATCCAAGAATAAGTCTGAATAAAACCAAGACTGCTTTCAAAGGAATCCCTTGCTTTGATGCATTCCAACCTTCATCAGTGGGAAGCTGGGAATACCATTACAAAGCTGGAATGTTTTGTATCAAGAGATGCAAAGCTACTAGCAGGAAGAATTACCAACCTGTTTCCACATCAGATACCCTGTATCTATCTATTGCCACCCCACAAAACTTTCCCCCAGTCCGTATTTCACAGTCATTACTTCACAGTCTATACTTCCCAGCCTTGTTCAGGTGTGCTTTTTACAATGTTGGCAGTTAAACTGGATAAAAAATTATGGTTTATTTTTAAAAAATATATAAAGAAAGTAAGATTTTATTTAAAGCCAATTTTATAAATATTAATTTTTATAAACATATGGAGTTTTTAATGCATACCAATCTATATTTTAAATTTTGATATCCTATATTTTTAACAAATTTAGCTTCCAAAGATCACAGAAAAAAATTAGACAGAAGGCTATTATTCAAATCACTGGGCTGAACAAGATTATGCTCTCTGCACATGATCCTCAGCTTGGTCAAGTTTTGAGGTCAAACTTCAAAAAAATAAGGTAATGAAAGACATAATATGTACCTGTAAATAACTGTACAGGTACAAAGAGTATTTACTTTTCATCCCGTTGCACATTCAGCTCCTAGCCACATTCAATGGCCAATTCCTTGAAACTTGAAAAATTTATTTGAAAATAAGAACTCTATTTATATATTGGAGACAGAAGAGACTTATTAGTCCTACAGTCTTGAAGCTCATGGTAACAAAAAAAAAAATAGGTCAGCTTAATTAATCATCTATCTTCCCCTGTCCATTTTTAAAGGGAAAACTTTCAGCTTATTTCTCATGTAAAACACCGCATGTGTTAGATCATTTGCCAAAACAAGAATTAGAACTGAAATTTTTAATGAAATGGACTTAATCAAATGCTACTCAGCTCTCTAAGAAAGCAATGAAGAACGGGACACCTATTTCAAAAAAGTTTTGAAAATAAAATAATACATATAGGTACACAGCATTTATATATTTGCTATGTATCTATACATATTTAGCCTATACCACATAGAGGCTAAATACCCTATGAAAGATTTCTTTCTTTTAGGGCAGTAAGATTAGAGCACAGCATATACTAAAATTCTAAAAGCAACATATTCTATTGTTCACCAACTATTTATTTTTTAGAGTGTGCTTCATAAGCTAGAGCTTTAGATAGAAGACAAGATTAGAGTAAGATTATTTACCATAGTGCTTTCTGCTTACTGATTCAAAACTCCGTGCGTTTACATTACTCCCACCCTATCTGTAACCACAGAGTTTTGCTGATAAGATTTCTCAACAGAAGACAGGCAAGATCAACCACATCTATCATTTAAGAAATTAGAGACAAGGGAGGAAAAAAAGGCGAAGCTATCCTGACTGACTTGTGAATACCAAATTTAAAAAAAAAAAATCAGATAAAGTAGTGGTAAAGCTCTGGAGCTCTGGGCAAAGATAATCCTGGTGACCCATCGGTATTTCCTCTTATAAGCTCCCATACTGAACTGCAGTTTCTTGCCTGAGAAGCTTTAAAAGTTTGCAACTTCTTTCTAGAAGACTTAACCTTTCTGCAAACTAGATGACTGTTTTGTCCAAGTGATGGCAAACATCATGTCTTTTAATAGCAATAGTTTCCATCCCAGAATAGTGTGTTACATGTAGGGAAGGCACGTATGTGCCATCTACTCATTGTGCAGTGTGGGGAAAATTAAGTTCACAGTCATGCTTTCAAGACTTCTGCAGCTATCCCTCAGCCACCTTGAAGTCTTCAACTCTTCTGGGTCTTCAAAACATGGCAGGACACCACTCTTCTCATACAAACCCCTTGTCTTTTCCTGATGTATGTGAAATACCTTTGGGTGACAAAACCTTTTGCTCTTCCCATGCCCCACAATACTTGCCCTCAAATCAAATTTACCAAAACAAGTCCAAGATTTACCATTGTTCAGGAAGGGGCCTTCTTCTCACTCCCTATGACACAGGGCTGTGAGCAGCTTTCGCCAAGCCTCAGTGCACACAGCTGAGAATATCCAGACAGACTGAATATGAAATTTCTCCTTTCCTTTCTTTTTGTGCTACCCTAGTGGGATTCTTATCTGCTTGGAACAGCCAGTCTCTTTGACTATATTTAGACAACAGCCATGCAGAAAACCTACAGGAGAAGGGGTCAGACTTCCTCCATAAACTCCTGGTGCAACAATTAAACGGATGACTCCTGCCATTACAGAAAATCTATTCTAGCAAAAGACAATTATTTACCAAGGGAACACACAAGCAAATAAAGCAGCTTGGGCTGAAGGTGGTAAGCTCAAGGAAAGTACAAAAGTGCTAGTAGTCTTTTGTAGAGGAGGACTACCAATCTGGAAGCTTCCAAAAGAGCAGCAACATGGCTTCAGAGAGTGGATCTTTTGCTCTTCATATTTTTTTTGTTTCACCAGCCCAAACACTCTTGTTTCTTCTTAAGTCTCACTCTCTACTTTAGCTCTGAACTCACAATCAACATCTGTAGACGCGACACAGCAGAAATCACACCTTTGCAGTACACCGTGTACTTGTAGGTGAATTTCTTTTAAAGTGTGTGTTTTATCTTCAAGACATTTGCTAATGCCATCCATTGTGATAAAATTTGATTCTTTGTACTACTTAGTTATTATTCTGCTAAATTATAGGCAACTCCAAAATAAAGCCCCAAGTTTTATTTAATAGCACATCTAGACACATTCCTCAATTTCAGAGTGCAGTAATGATTTCAAGGCTGTCACAGGACAGAATTCTTTTCATTAAATTTGTAGAACTCAAGACAGCCAAATTCAGAATATAAACAATGTGAAGTTTGAACTCACCTGTATTCAGCAGCGATCACAAACTGTCTTCCTTAATTTAACAGTATGGCAAATTATCATGCTGTATCGCCACCAGCTCCAAAGAGAGAATTTAGTAGGTTCCCCACTTTCTTTCCTCTTGGATTAAAGCTACCAGGCCTTACCTTTCGCTGATGTTCTCCCCATGGTAACACTTCTGTGATCTCCCCTCTCACAATAAAAAGGCTGAAGTTGAAAGACCAGTTAATTCTTCCTTTCAGCACAACAGTTTCCTGTGGAGCAGTAATACAACAAGTTAGGGGGGGAGGTTGTTGGCATTTGGGTTTTCTTTTTTTTGGAAAGGATGATTTTTTTTGTATTGGTATATAATTATCTTGCTGGTTTTAAATTACAAGTGTTTAACAAACGATCTGTAGGAGAGTAGTGTGAAAACAACAGTTAAATAAAAGTAGCAAAAATACCAAATGAAAACTTTCATTTCCTTCTTTTAGACAGTTCATTCTCTAATGATTTGCATTTTCTGTGGATTTCTAAAACACAAAGATATAAAATGTGATATATTCCTTTTTCTCCCCAGAAAACATTACTGAAAAATGGAAGACTCTTTATACATAACCTACTCACCCTGCCTCACTTGCAGAGAGTTAAACAATCATCAACTTCAATACTTTTGGGTAAAACACATTATCTTGCACAACTACAGTTGAAGAGGGAACAAAACACTAATGTAAAAAGTCTGTACAAGGCCCATGTGCTCATTGATACCCCTGCCCTATGATTTGTAACAGACTTGTAACAGTGCACAGAGAAGTGTTAGGGAAATGCTAACTGCAGATAAAAGCAATGAGCCACATTCTTGTAGGGTTTAGAAATTGGAAAGGACAGATTGGTGAAACTAGTGTAAAACAGCCAAGACAAACTTTCTTTTTCGTGTCTGTTACTGTGATTTTCTACTCCAGCATCTAGTATTTTGAACTTTGACTGTGTTCCAGTCAAACTCATTTCAAGCATCTAGCCTTGAAGCAACAAAGCCAGCAAGTTTATTATCCTTCTCCATTAACTTTTCAAGTAATAATGGGTACATACATTCAAATTTGTGAATTATGTTCTTGGATAATTTCCTTTCAAGCAACTTCCATGAGATTTAAAGCTGACATCACCAAAAACTTGAGGAGTTTTTTAAATTTAAATATGTGTATACCTTTACATTTCATTTCACTATTCATTTTATCAAAGGTAACATTTTTCGAAGCTACGTCTTTCCACTGTGACATAAAAGAAGTAACAGTTGAAAAGCAAGTTATCTACTTGGAATTTCTTGACTCTTCTACTCACATGCAAAAAAAAAAAAAAAATACACATATATATCATATATAAAAAGAGAAGTATCATACAACTGAGTATTTTCCTGAAACTATGATCCTTTACTGAAACTTCAAGAAACTTCAAAGCCCTATGATGATTGACTGGATGATGAAAACTTTATACAGTGCAAGACCATGGCTAAAGCTAATTAAAAGGTTTTTTTTAATGCCAGTGACTGATAAATTTATTTCATGTGTGTGTTGTCTGTGAACATGCTGGACAGTTATTACAAAAACTCAAGATTCAGACTTGAAAGGAGTCATAAATAAAACTGAATACTATCATAAAATAAGCAGATTTTGCTACACAATAGCATTCATAGTATAAGTGATCATCAAGATTAAGAATATAAATCCTTTTAAGCTATCAAATAAATTTGAAATACTTTATATTTTCACAGACTCCCCCAAAAATTCAAAGCTTTTCCACTGCAAGTAATAAATCATGGAAGGTGATGCAGAGTCAAAGTAACTGTTTTTACAGATTACTTTAGAACAGCGAATGGTTTTTATCTTTTTGTTCCAAGTACCAGATTGCACTTGGTGCAGTAATAAAGATTCCAACCCTGCAGTGATAGTCATCAAGTTTAGCACAACCGGAGCGTCTGTGAGAACATAAAAAGGATTCCAGCTTTTCATTAGCTTGTGTTGTACCAGATAGGCTGTTTTACAGCATGTCCACCAGCCTGTTAAAAATATAAGACAACTGAAAGTTCTGAGAAAGCTGTTTGAAATGAGGCAAATCCAACTGCAGGAACACAATATATTACTGTTTCAAAGAGGTGCTACTTAGAACTCGGTTACACCTAAGTATTCAATTTAAAGCTGCTATTAAATTAGCTCATAGATTGTACTGTTTGTCACAGAAAACATTCAAGAACGGTATTTCTGAGCCTCTATTTAACAACCACTATATGTTGCTGACCCACAGCAAAATTCAAACCAGTTATCTCAAACACAGGGCAGGGTCAACCTGAAACAAAGTGCAACTTCTTCTGCAGGGGCAGACCTAAGAACTACTTTCCATCCTCTCACATACTTAAGTGGAAAATCCTAAGCAAGGCAGTTGTGTCCTTTGCTAACCAAGACAGAGTCCCTTATGTTGCACTCACCATCCCCAGCCTGGCTTAACCCACAGCACACCCAACACAGAAAAGAAGAAAACCACCAACAAAAATGGGGAAAACACCTCCAGGCACATTCTGGTAAAATTACATAGCAAGGACAGATCTCAAGGCATTCTTGTATGTGTGACTTGGCAAGTAAGCTGAATAAGAAATACGGAGCTAAGAAATTAATCAAGCAGCTTCAGAAATGAAGCGGAAAATGAAACAAAACAAGGTCAGGAATATATGAGCAAACAAAGAAATGCAATGGCAAGGCTGAATGAAGTGCAATGGCATTAGAGTGCACAAAACAGCAGAATGAAAAGTTACAAAGATTGAGATAAGCACAGAGGTTGTCAGTCACAAACAAAAAATGACGGAAGTATTTAAGGGATTGTCAGTACAGAATCCAGTGAGAAACCATTTACTGAAAATTAAGGAAAAAGTAAGGGAGAAAAAATCCACAAACCTAGGATAATATTGGATTAATCATCAAAATGTCTTCAATCCAAAGAGCACTCAAAGGATATCCACATTCATGAAGTGTATTATTTACATCACTTACATCTCAATTCATTCTGTAAACTGAGTTTTAGTCTTTCTCTAATTTCCATCCCTTCCATGAATTCCTTTTTAAAAAATTTGATGGAAAGCATTTATCTGCCTTTAATTCTTTCCTGCAGGTTTGTCAAACCCCAAATCACTTCTACTAGCCATCTCCCACTGTGCAAGACCTTTGTCAGAAAGCATTATATTAGTAGACAAGCCTAAGTCTTCACCTTCTCTGCATTGCTAGTATATTATACTACGTGTCAGAAAACAGGGTGGAAAACATTTTTCCTGCCTAACTTTGCTTTCTCTTTTGAAAGAATTACTCTAAGGGCATACATTGCTGCATTTCCAAGAATATAGCATTCAACAGAAAATATCGAAATTACTCGTTCTTTTGCCTGCCATGCATCTCCATTGTCCTTCTCACTGTTAGCCAGGCACTCAAGTAAGCCAAATGCCCTGAAAAAAAAATATTTATGCATATCTAGGGCTTCCCAGTGCAAGTTTATCTTGACAGCATGCCTGCTGATAAAAACACACAACAGAACTACTGAGATAAACGTAATATTTAAATAAGCCTAAGCAAAGAGGAGATTGTGGGTTCAGTCCACACAAAAAAGATTTGGGTTTTTCTCTCCATGACTCTGCATCTAAGGCAGGACAAGAGCCAGCAATTTTAAAACCCATTACCTTTTTTGACCTTACCAAATGGTACAAATGCAGTAACTTAGACCTCACCATTGGCATCTTCTTGGGTGGGACAGTCATCAATGGGCAATCTCTGCTGGATAAGGACTGAGACTATTCTTTTGCACACATACACTGCACACAGGAGGCATCTAACAAAACAGCCACTTGGAAGCAACAATGAAGTTTTCAGTTTTAGCTTGAAATAAAGGCAGACGTTCTTCAGGCTTAATGTGAACAAGGAGTTGTATTTGCCCCTTTTTTTCTGCTACAAATGCTTCAAGATTAAAATTCCATATGCAAAGGTGAAAAAGAAGTACACATAGTTTGAACAGCAAAACCAGTTATAGAAAGAAAATAGGTACAGTATAAGCTAAGAAATACTTTCCCCTGCCAATGCTTTCATTTGTACAAGTTTTGCTTTCCCCATCAGCATTCATGTGCTATTACATTTATAAACACATGAGACATCAGCTACAGCTGCTGGCCACGCTCCCATTGCTGTTTGCCACTGCCACGCTCCCATTGCTGGACTCTTCCCTGCTGTTTGCCACTGCCAGTGCTGCAGAGCCCTCCAAGGAAAGGACCTGTGCAGCCTCCTCCATGGACACAGACCAGCAGCTACAGCTCCCACTCCAGTCTCCACACATGGGAAGCCTGTGGATTTCTACAAGCACCAGTTGCTGCCCAAACCAGTGTGACTTAACTGCATACTTCAAAGCCATCCTTCATTAATCTGGAACACTTTTTCCTTAAACCTAATCATCTGTTGTCTACTCATCTCTTGTCTCTTAAATAAAACCCTACTTCATACCATTTTTAAAAGCCTTTGAGGGGCTGAAAAGAGACAAACAAGGAGTGTAAAACTTTAAAGGAGTTTTTACATAATATACATTACTTTATTAAATAAAATTTGCAATACTTAAAAATAATTTTCAGCAAACTATCCAGCATATAGACTCATCCAGTATACTTGAAGACACAACAGCACACCTCCTTATTTCTGTTATAGAGATAGCCAGTTTGCCTCTCAGTGCATACTATGGAAAAGCAAGATCAGAAAGGCTAAAGAAGAAAAAAATTACACTAATGTATCAGAACTCTAGAAAATATAGCAAAAGCTTTGTATTTATAAACTCAGTATTATTTACCATTACACATACATGACTTTGAACCGAAACATTAAAAATCAGGTCTTCTTTCATTTATGCACACAAATACATAATCAGTTGGTGTTCTGACAAGAAATTTGATCTGAGTTGGAAACCCTTTTCATTTACATTTTCTGTATTAAAAAAACAAAAACCAAAAAAGTTAAATTATTTCAAGGAAAGGAAATTAAACTTCTACATTTTCATACAGCTCAACTTTTAATAAACTGATATATATGAACACCTCCTCTAGTCACTAAAAGCAAAGCTAGACAGATAGAATTTAATCAAATTAACAGGTTTTCAAACCAGCAAATATTAACTAGCCATATAAATCATTACAACAACTAAGCTTGAGTATTTCTTAAGTTGTTAAAGAAAGCAAGTGGGTACTTAGTGCTTTACGAATATA